CAATATTCCAGGTGTGGTCTAACCAAAGCGGAATAGAGGGGTAGCATGACTTCCCTGGACCTAGACACTAGGGTCCTCTTGATGCAGGCCAAAATCCCATTGGCTTTTTTTACCGCCACATCACACTGTTGGCTCATGTTTAACTTGTTGTCCACGAAGACTCCAAGATCTTTTTCACACTTACTGCTCTTGAGCCAGGCCTCATCGTCCCCCATTCTGTCCCCTACGAGCTCCTCCCTTACAAATATACCTTTTTATTTTCATCTCATCCAGAGTTTTATCATTTTATGTCGTACATTTGGCTCACCCATTGCGTTTGATTTTTCATTTTGTTACTTTGCACTGTTTTATTGTACTTTTATGTTTTACTTATTTTATTGTGATGTTATTTTTGTCGTTCTGCATTTATTTTGCTGTAATGTATTACTGGGCTTGGCCTCATGTAACCCTAAACCCTAATCCGAGTCCCGTTTGGGGAGATTTATTTATTTATTTATCTATCATGTCAGGAGCAAACCAAGCAGTTGTATTGCATTTTTAAACAAACAAACAAAGAACAATTATTCAATGTTGTCTATGTGGGTAGTGTGCCAAGTTTGGTGCAGATCCATTGTGGGCTGGTTTCAGATAAAACACAAGATTTGCAAGCTTGGTAGTTGATTAAATGTCCTTTGACCAGTATCTGTCCACTTGGGGTGCCTCTGATGTTACTATAAGAAGGTCCTCCATTGTGCATGTGGCAGGGCTCAGGTTGCATTGCAGCAGGTGGTCAGTAGTTTGCTCTTCTCTACACTCGCATGTCGTGGATTCCACTTTGTGGACCCATTTCTTGAGGTTGGCTCTGCATCTCGTGGTGCCAGAGCGCAGTCTGTTCAGTGCCTTCCAAGTCGCCCAGTCTTCTGTGTGCCCAGGGGGGAGTCTCTCATTTGGTATCACCCATGGATTGAGGTTCTGGGTTTGAGCCTGCCACTTTTGGACTCTCGCTTGCTGAGGTGTTCCAGCGAGTATCTCTGTAGATTTTTAAAAACTATTTCTTGATTTAAGTCGTGGACGTGCTGGCTGATACCCAAACAGGGGATGAGCTGGAGATGTCACTGCCTTGGTCCTTTCACTATTGCCTGCTACTCCCTGGTGGATGTTAGGTGGTGCAATACCGGCTAAACAGTGTAATTTCTCCAGTGGTGTAGGGCACAGCCACCCCGTGATAATGTGGCACGTCTCATTAAGAGCCACATCCACTGTTTTAGTGTGGTGAGATGTGTTCCACACTGGGCATGCATACTCAGCAGCAGAGTAGCACAGCGCAAGGGCAGATGTCTTCATTGTGTCTGGTTGTGATCCCCAGGTTGTGCCAGTCAGCTTTCGTATGATATTGTTTCTAGCGCCCACTTTTTGTTGATATTCTTGTAGGTCAGAGCACGGTCCAGAGTGACTCCCAGGTATTTGGGTGTGCATTAAGAGGCACATCTACTGTCTTAGTGTGGGAGATGGTGGCGGGGTATAAATAAAGTTTATATTATTATTATTATTATTATTATTATTATTATTATTATTATTATTTAAGAATATTTACATCCAAAACTGGTATTGTATGGAACGGGCTGCATCTCTTTAATGCTTGTGCCATATAGAACCCTTTCCAGTTCCTTCTGACCTTTCTTTTGAGGACATCTTCTTGTTCCCCTTTGTGTTATTTGAATTGTAAACCACTTTATGACTTCTAAATGAGCTTTGAAAAACAAATAAAGAAATTCAGCTTCCCTTCTTACGTTTGGTATTTCACAGGAGACGAGACAAGGGTTCTGGGAAGACATGACAGCTCCACTCTTTCTGATGCAGGAGAAGTGACATCCATTCAGCAAGATCAGGTAAGAAGAAGACAGCAGACAATAGTAGAAAAACTGGCTTGTTGTAGGATTTTCGGGCTATATGGGCATGTTCTGGAAGCATTCTCTCCTGACGTTTCACCTGCATCTATGGCAAGCATCCTCAGAGGTTGTGAGGTCTTTGGGCAAGAACACAAACATCCCACAACTGTTGCAGGCGACAGCATGAATTCCCTTTCCATCATGATGCTTCTCACTTGCTTAGAATACCCAACACAGGAAAGTTGGTGTGGCTACTCCTAAAAGTTATCTCTTTGAATTCTGTACACAGGCTTTCAATGGATCAGGATTCTTCTTAGCAGTAGAAGAAGCACTAATGATTTGTATGTCCAACTTTCTTCTTTCAGGTGATATTTGAGGATGTGGCTGTACATTTCAGTGTGGAGGAGAGGGCCTTACTGGATACGGATCAACGGGCCCTGCACTGGGAAGTCATGGAAGAAAATTATAGGATGGTGGCTTCACTGGGTAAGAATCCCTCAGCCTCCTGGTTACTAAAAATTAAGTTTGGGGAATTTATATATTTTTTTCTATAGTCCTGCTGCATAGTTCAGGATCATGAGTCACCTTTGCCCAGCACTTCTGATTCCTTAACAGGCTGGAAGAAAATATTCCCCTCTGGACACTACTTCTGAGGAGCTACTCTTCAGTGGGACATTTGCTTAATGCTTACTTAATGCTTATGAGCACAATTCAAAGTGCTGGTGCTGACCTATAAATACAATATGGATGGGTTCCTTAGTAAACGGGTTAAACACCAATAATCCCCTTATAAAGATAACATAATGAAT